CAAAATGCTAGTTAGCTGTGGGACGTTGGAAGAGTGAAAGAAAGAGGAGCAAGTGGTATTTGAGAAACTCGAAGCTGCTGTTAGGAAGCGCAATCTAGCGCTTTGAAGATACTCAAATGTCAGTGATTCTGAGATACTCATCCTGATACCCTAGGCTAGTGAATTACCAATGGATCTCACATTTGATAATTCAATCGCTGACTACCAGTAAGATACAGAGTCATAAATCCTTGTAAGAAGGAAGCTTAGAAATCATGAAATGTTGTTCTTTATCATTGTCAATAATTGCTTCCAAAATATCTAGACGATCGACTTCTAGCCTCTGCTCAAACAGCTGTATTGGTGTGGCGGGGGCGGGGGGGGGGGGGGACAAGACACAACTTCTATTTCAATCATAATAAATAAAATTCAAAGATGAGTGGTAGGAAATCTTGAGTTTAAAATTTCTTATTCTGTAGTCTCATGTGCCCCCTGCTGACTGAAATTATCTGCTTTCACGCTAACAATTCCATAATTTACTAAGCTAAGGAGACTGTTAATATTGATTCATTTTAAGTAATAAAAATTCCCTAGAATAGGATTTGAAATTCACTTGACATTTGTTAGTCACTTGCATTTGAAGCCGTCGAACATTTCCGCGAATTACTTGCTCTTAGCAGCAATTTAAAATGTTATCTTTTGTCGCCACCTGCTGGTAGAACATTTTCTCACTCTTCTTTTTCACTTGGTTCTTTTTTGTGTGTTGCTACGGAAAAATTCCTAAATGAAGAAGACGAGTTACCTTTGGCACTGACAGTCCTGTATTAAACTTTATCATTGAGAGTCAAACATTAATGTACCTTAGGTAGACAAGAGGCCCTTAAACATCTGTTTGATGAATGCGGTTTTCATTTGATTTAGTGGATTGCAATGTCTACGATCTTTTTATTTGAACAGCATAAAGCTCTCAAATGTGACAAATAATAGTGATCCACAATATTATCCTATCAGAGGTATTTTTGTTTTTTTTTTAATTTAATTGATTTTTGGTTTAAGCTAACAGAGCTGCACAATTAAAAGTAGCTGGCTCAGGCATTTCATCAAGAGTGTAAATACACTTAAAGTGACAACATTTAAAAGATATTTTTTGATACCAAAAGGTGAGAGAAAGTTTGATGAAATGTTATTAAATATGATCGAAAAGTTATAATCACCTTTGCCAGTTCCCAACTTGAACCACGAAGAAAAAAAAACTGAGCTGCACATGATTCGTTGTAGACCGACGCCACCTTGTGGGAGCAAAAAGAGGTACTACAGGCTATGGGCCTTTTAAGGTGGAATTGTTATTGCTAGAAAATTCTGTTCACAATTCAAATGAAATGTAATCACTGGAAACAACAGCAATAACAAATCTGAAAACATACTTAACCTACCAAACAGCCACATAATTAAAATTCCAAAAAGGTATTTGGTTAAAAATTAGGAGTCAGAGTCACTTCTAGGCCCCCAATTTGGTTTTCGTTTGAAGCAAGTCCCCTTCGAGGCACAGTTCCTGATCTGTGAAACAGGGGAAGTGCAGTGCACAGGTTACACCTGCCTCAGTTCTTGCAAACGTGTGAGTTTGGGGTCATGACAATTCATAGTCCAAATGCAATTTACATGTAGTTTTTCTGTTTTCAATATTTCTTACATGTCTGAGCACATAAGATGCTTAAAATAAATGTTTTGTATCTATTCTCTCATGTATGAGTAAATGAAATACCCAGTTGTTCGATCTTACTTTAAACCATATGCTCCCAAAAGGACCACTGAGTGGCTTTCCCATTTCTAACTGGTAAATCCCATGGCATGAAGATGTGAATACATAGCATTACATGTGTATGTACATTTATCAGTTCTGTAGGCAACAGTTTTACTAAAACATGCTAATAGCACATGCATGTTAATAGGCTCCCTCATTTCAGGGCTACTCGTTGGATTTAATTTGGTGTGGACTTCTTAAGACTTCGGAATATTGTGTCTGTAATATATGAGTAAGTGAAACACATACAAACTCATAAGGTATGGGTGGAAATCAATGCTTGTTTGTTCCTTGTACTTTAAAATACATGACACATTCTCATTTCTCTGTTAAGAGAGGACAAAAGTCCTTTGAAAAGGTCAAACTGTTCATTGTGAGAACACTACCGTCCAGTGCAGGGTGGGGCGAAAGTAGGTTTACAGTTGTGAGCATGTGAAACTCAGTTCATTATTATATCACTTTCCATTTGAACACATGCAAACCTACTTTCGCCCCACCCTGTATTTTAACTTTGGTTAGCTCCTCTCTACAAAGAATAAAAACTGCTTAAGGCCTTTGGTGTGTTCTAATACACATTAGAACACACCAAAAATTATGTTTGTGTAAGCCCACATGTATTCTAGAAAAAGAAAGCCAGACATGTGGTGGGGCTTAGGACAAGCTATGTCCTTTTGGGTGTCCGTTTAAATCGAGGAGCAAACATTTTATGATGGGGAAAGTATGAACCATTACTAACAAGGACCCAACATGCCATGTCATTGTTACTAGTGCCATGGACACATTTTACTTCTCTTGGTCTTGTTTCCACAATAAAACATTTTCTTCAATGCACAATTTTGCTAATAAAGGTACATATGCTATATGTATATATGTATGTAACACCACAAATGCCCAAAGAGTGCTGGTCTCAAAAAAACAAAAGTTAAGTGGATTAAATGTTCTTCAGAGCATGGGCAGAGTTTTTCAAGCTTAGCAATTGGCAGCTCCTGCATCCATGCCTCTGCAGAAGCGATTAAAAAGGAATCATTTCCCAGAACTACAGGTGCAGGGCAGACTGGAGTCATTATGCAAAAGAACAGAAATCTGGAGAGAAACCTGGTGAATAAAAAAGCCATGTTCCTGGCCATCCGTTTGCCTTTCGTGCTCTGCACTCTTTTTTTTTTCCAGCTCCATTTGGAAAGACAACGTGAAATAGGCAAAATTGTAATAGATTTGAAATAAAACATTCAAAAGAAATCTATGCCTTGAATTGAGCAAACTTCCAACAGGAACGCACTGGGGGCGGAAATGAACTGCAGGCCATGCTTGCACTTATGTGTTCTAAAAGCCGAAGTTTATGTAGGGGAGGTAACCGTGTGGAATACATTAAGTGAGTTTTTAGAAAATTACACATTTTCTTCCGGGTCTTCCGAATTCCCCACTGTGTCCCAATTCAAGGGACTCACATTTACCCTTAGTCCTCGGTTCAGTCTCTCAGCCCCAGCCTGGTCCACCCCAAGTTTCTGAAATCTCCATCTCAAGGACGCTCTGAGGCCCCCAGGGCTGGTCACCTTAGATTGTTTTCAAAGCCTTCTTCTCAGCAGGAGGTTTGAGACTTTATTGATGACTCTGCCATCTTGCTTACCTAATCACAGTCAGCATCTTGTAAGTATAAAGTGACTTTTCCTCAAACGTTCTCCCAAGGATCTAACTTAATGAAACAAAATCATTAAAAAAAGGGAATGTTCAAAAAACCTTCTGTAATGGGGGGAGAGGGTGATGTAAAACATCTCTGGAAACCAAACTGACAAGAGGGGATGTTTGGGAAGTGGCGCTCGGGAAGCAGAGAGGAGCAAACTTCTACCTTCAAAGACGAGCAGAGTCAGGGTGGGCGAAGTGGACGTGAATGGGGGCCCTGATGAGTGCGTCCGAACGTACCCAAGTTGAAGGAGGAGCAGAATGGGGTGAGAGAGGGCTGGAAGAGACTGAAAGGAGACAGTCAGAAACGGTGTCAAAATATCAGATGGTGAGAGAGAGAGGGGGGGAGGAAGAGAGGAAGAGAGGAAGAGAGGAAGGAAGGAAGGAAGGAAGGAAGGAAGGAAGGAAGGAAGGAAGGAAGGAAGGAAGGAAGGAAGGAAGGAGAAAGAGAGAAAGAAAGAAAGAAAGAAAGAAAGAAAGAAAGAAAGAAAGAAAGAAAGAAAGAAAGAAAGAAAAGAAAAAGAAAGAGAAAGAAAAAGGAGAGAGAGAGAAAGAAGGGTAATTAAGATACTTCAAGCTGCTGTTAAGATATATGTAATTGCTGGGTTGATCGTTCAACATTTAACTCTTGACAGTGACCTTCCTTTCTAGGAAATGTAATTTCCTAGAAAAAAAAAAGGAAATGCCATTTAAGAAAGCATACATTCCTAAACGTGTGGGGACCGGGGGTTGTTGCTAAACTCTTTCTAGAGGGAAGTGGTTTTGCTGCTCTGCGCCATTCCTTCCCACTTGAACTTTCCGAGAGAGTGGAAAACAAAACTCGGAGGATTGTTCCAGTAGGCAATCTAGAGCTCCCAGAGAAAAAAGGAAAAAAGAGGAAGGTGGAAAGCATTCTGAAAGCACATTCGGAAGAGGGGCGCAAGGGAGGACTGACGGGGACGGACGCCTCCAGCTGGGACAGAATGACGGTGGAAGGGGTCTGGCGAGGGGTGAGGAAAGGGGGCCGAGCTGAAACTTGCTGGAAACCGAGGGGGCAGGGGCGGGGGCACCCGAGACCCGCGAAGGCCGGGAAGGGCAGTCCGTGCGTGCTAGGGACCCGGGATTCCGCGGCCATTCTCACCATTGTCCCCGCGGTTTTCCGCCTGTGGAAGCATTACGAAACATTTCCTTCCCCGTGTCAACCAGCCCCTCCCTCCTTTTCGGTGGAAGCGCGGCTCAGGTTTTTCTTAGGGACCTAACGGTGGAAAGGCTCCGCTGTTCTCGCGCGTGCAGCGCGGGTGCAGCCTTTTCCCCTCCCGATGGGAAGGAGGGAGGGGTCCGGGAAAGTCCTAACGTCTCCACTGAACACTTTCCAGCCCCGGCGAGCCCGCGGGCCCCTGGGTGGAAAAGCGGCGTCCTTGACGTTTCTGCCAGCCCGGCCTCCGTCCGGCCGCCGCTCCGAGGTTGAGGAAGGCAGGCAGGCAGGCTCGCGCGGGAGCGGATCATTTCCCGAATAAAGAGAGAAAGCGCAATGCCCTCCCTAAGCTCCAGGGAACTGAACCGCGTTCCGGATCACCTCCGGAAGCGTGGACACGGGTCCCCACAAAGAAGACTAAGGTGGCAGAAGGGGGAGGTGGTGAGGGAAGGGGTAGGGGTGAAGGTCAATGCCCACGCATTATAAAATCCAGAGCCTGGGGGGTGTCTCCCGGCCCTCTCACCAAACGTGCTTTCTAGGGGAGGCACTGGGCCAAAAAGCTCTCGCCGAGAAAAGTTGAGGCAAAGAGAAAGCACGCGGCAGCAATCCGGCCCCTGGTGGTCTAGGGAGCTGGAGAGGCGGGATGGGGTGTCTTTCTCCAGAAGGCCGGGGAGTAGAGGGCCTCGGGGATAGGGGTGGTGACAGAGGAAGGGGGCGCAGGGCAAGTTCCTTGGCAGAGATATCTTGGAGAAGGGACTCAACATCCCAACCCCACTGCCCCTTCTGGGAACTGCAGCCTAACGCGGGACGTGCGCTCCTGCACTGGAGGGGCGGCTGAGAGGGAGGGTGGTCCGGGAAACCGGCCCGGAGGGAAAGGCGCGGTGGAAGTGAGTACCTCTCCCCTTCAGCAGTCCCAGACGCACAAAGCGCCGGTCACAGCGCCCCTCCTGCGTCTTCCGGCCCTAGACTGACGCGCGCAGGGCAGGGAGCTAGCACGGAGATCGCCCCCTCCCCCGCCCGGGGCTCGCAGCGCTCAGCGCGGTCTAGCACCGACTTCAGGGCGTGTCTTCTGGCTGGAAGGGCTGCCAAGAGGGAGGAGAAAGGGGGGGGGGAGGGGAAATGTAGCCGCATTCGCAAGCTATAAAAGAGCAGTCCCGAGTGCCCGGTTCTTGCACTCGCCGGAAAGCCACTCCGAGCCAGGGGCCGTCTCAAAGCCAGGTCGTGCAGTAGGGCCGAAAATACAGAGCCCTGCGCAGAGCGAGCAGCACCCTGGTCAAGGCGGAGGTTGAAGAGGAGATCCAGGCACTGATCTTCGCGTGGTCCGGTGCCCCCGCCCCGGGGGCGTCCCACGGTGCTCCTTGTCCCCGCAGCAGCCACCCCGCCAGCGCCTGCTGCGCGGTGCCTCTAACTCCACGCTTCGAAGAAAAACTACCCCTTTGCAGGCAGAACTGTAGCGCCTCCACCCAAGTGACTCCGGGAGCCCTGTCTGCGGCCGGCTCTGCGAGAACTTTCAAAGAATAATACTAACTGTTAACTCTAAGCATCCAGAGCGAGGGCGGGGAGGTTCTTCACTCCCAACCCAAACAATAGCCTCCTCGCTCGGTGCGTTTCGGCGCGCGGTGCCAACCGGGACTCGGGTGCAGCTAGCGGTCCCCGCGGGGTTCTGAAGGCGTACCGCAGGCAGCAACATGGGGAAGGCGGAGCTGGCACGGAGGTTTCACGGCTCGCAGCCTGCGTCCGTGCTGCTGCTGTTCGTGGCCACAGCGCTGCTGGTCCTGCCCGGCGTGCCTGGGCGCCTCGCGGAGGAGGATGAGGAGCTGGTGCTGCCGGTAGTGGAGCGCGACCCGGGACACAGGAACGTGCGCCTCCGCCTGGACGCCTTCGGCCGGCAACTGAGCCTGCAGCTGCAACAGGACCGCGACTTCCTGGCGCCCGGCTTCACGTTCCAGACCGTAGGGCGCAGACTGGGACCCGACGCTCCTAGTCCCGACCCCGCCGGTGACCTGGCTCACTGCTTCTACTCCGGCACCGTAAACGGCGATCCCAGCTCAGCGGCGGCACTCAGCCTCTGCGAGGGCACACGCGGCGCCTTCTATCTGCAGGGCGAGGAGTATTTCATCCAGCCAGCGCCCGCCGCCTCCGTGCGCCTCACCCCCGCCGCCGCTGCCGGGGAGGAGTCGCCGGCGCGGCCCCAGTTCCATCTCCTGCGGCGGAGACGGCGAGGCGACGGGGGCGCCAAATGCGGGGTTATGGACGACGAAACTCAGCTGGCGAAGGGCGCTGCGCCGAAGGGAGAGGAAGCCGGCGCAGACTGGCGGCGGAGGGACCCTGCTCCTGAGCGCGCGGGGCAACCGACAGGTATCTGTCCCAGAAGAATTCCTCTCATTTGTCTCTCTCCATTCATCTTTCCTGTCCCCACCTTTCTCTGTGCAACGAAATTTAAAATTAGACTCCTGTTTGCAAACAGGACCGGGTTTGAGGTCCCGCTGGAACTCTTTTAACTACGTTTCCCTGAATAATGAATAATCAAGACAGAACACAGAAATCAATGATTTTCTGCTGACTAAGGCCAAGCGTTTAGACCGGGAAGGGAGAGCTGGTTGGTAATCCAACTCGTTCCACCTTAGTCGAGTGAGAGCATGTGCAACTTCTTCCTGTCCTCCTAACTTCCTTTTTCGATGGTGCATGTGTGTTCTTTGGTCGAATTGCACCTTTGCACTACTTTGTAACCGCTGCCTGAGCCCGTACCCTGCACGCAGGGGAGGGGAGGGATGGAAGGCGGAAGAGCTATGGTGACCTCGGAATGTGCAGCCTCCCAGATTGCAGGGCTGTGCTCTGAGCTCTGTCCTGCTGGTCTCTGTCCCCTTCCCCATTTAAGAAGCTGACTCTGACCGACGGGAGGCGGCGGAGCCCTTTTGCAGAACCTGCTTGGGAGGTCTTTGCTCAGCTTACCCCGCCTCTCTGCACCTCCCACCCGGCCTCCCAGCTTGCGCTCCCTCTCGCGGCCACAATTCTGCTCTCAAGCACTGTCTAATGTTAGTCACCATGGATCCTGCTACGGCTTCCCGGACTCGCTCTGTTGTGTGCTCATGATCTCACTCTGGTGCTTTGATTCTTCTTTAACTTGCTCCCCTATCTTATTTTAGAATTCTCCACTTTCTCCTGTGCATCTGCTCCTTGAAACAGTTATGTGGATGTGGTTACAGCCTCGTAGTCCCTGGGGTCCGAGTCTCAGGAGTCAAGGGCTCCATTCCTAGATAATCACCTGTGGCCCAAGGCAGCAATTTAATTTCCCTGGGGCAGCGGGAGCGGGGCAATCGGATGCTGGGCAGAGTGGGTGGTCTTTTGTGCCTGGATTTGGCAGGAGCAGGGCACCCCAGGGACCCCTGGAATGAGATTGCAGAGCAGTGCAGGCTGAGATTCCTTGAGGCCAGGCCCCTTGGCAGAGGCCCCAGCCCTGCCCTGGGCTTTCCACGTGGAGCCGGATGACCTCATTCAGGATCTGAGTCCTGGCCTGTGAAAGAGTGACTCAGGGCCTCTGCCTGCTGCCCCTGCTCCAAGTTTTCACTACAGTGGGGCAGGACGCGGTGCTTGCTGCCTTGTTCTGAGGGCAGGGTTTTAAAGAGGACAAAAGACATCCTGCTCACCAAAAAAATTAGTACTTTTTAAAAAAGAAAACAGAAAAAGCCTGATCCCTCAGAGGAGCATATGGCCTTTTTTCAAAGTAAAGGAGAAACCTTTAAAAATAACATTTTCAGTGAAAGGAGATACAAATATTTTTGTTATTGTTGTCCCGGGTGTATTTTTGTTTTATTTGCTTTGACTGGTTCGGCTTTCCTTATATACTCTGTGACGGTAACTGCTCTTGGCTAGTTACCTCCTGAGCAAACTATGTTTCTTGTTTCCTTACAGGAAAGGGAAGCATAAGAAAGAAGCGATTCGTGTCCAGCCCCCGTTATGTGGAAACCATGCTCGTGGCCGACCAGTCGATGGCAGAGTTCCATGGCAGCGGCCTGAAGAACTACCTCCTCACCTTGTTTTCGGTGGCAGCCAGGCTGTACAAACACCCCAGCATTCGGAATTCGGTTAGCCTGGTGGTAGTGAAGGTCCTGGTCATCCACGAGGAACAGAAGGGGCCAGAAGTGACTTCCAACGCTGCCCTCACTCTGCGCAACTTCTGCAACTGGCAGAAGCAGCACAACCCACCCAGCGACCGCGATGCGGAGCACTATGACACAGCGATTCTCTTCACCAGACAGGTGAGAGGAAGACCATTCCCATTAAGATAGGGGCCTCTTGGGAGCCTGCTTTGCGACAAGTGTCTGTGAAAAGGCATTTATTTCATCATCTTTCGGCATTTGCATTTCTTCAACTGCCTAGCATGGTCAATCTCCTTATTTCTTCTATAATTTTAATATCTGCAGTTTCATAGTCCTGTTTGAATAGCATTAGGAAAAAATCTTGATCAAGGTCACCCAGAGTGCTCTTCAAAGGACAGCTCAACACAAGTGTGATGGTGATACAGCCCCGAGAGATCCCCAGCTTCGCGCTGCGTCCCTACTAATGAGGATGCACCTTTGCTTCTCACAGGACCTGTGTGGGACCCAGACGTGCGACACTCTCGGCATGGCGGATGTCGGAACCATCTGTGATCCCAGCAGAAGCTGCTCTGTCATAGAAGACGATGGTTTGCAAGCGGCCTTCACCACAGCCCATGAACTAGGTAAGTCTGTTTCAGAGTAAGACTTGAGCCCAATCTGTGAGTTCAAAATGATAAACGTTATATTAATTAGAAAGAGACAGTATGCAGGTCACATGGTTATTTTAGGTGCCAGGGCTCCTTAGAAACTACAGAGAATGTGCTCCAACCATTCCTACACATGATCATCTTCATTAGAGTCCAAAACAAGATAGTTGGAGCTCCGGACACTTGGGCAGGGGATGCATTTGTTTAAACTCTGAAAAGTAGACACCGGCTCCAAAATAGATGGTCTCCAAAGTGCATTTTTTTCTCTCTCTAGAAATACCACTTTGAGACAGATCCTTGTTAGGAATAAAATGCTGCACAATGACCTGCAGGTTAACGAGGGTTTCGGGTTGTTTCTCAGGCCACGTGTTCAACATGCCGCACGACGATGCCAAGCAGTGCGCCAGCCTCAACAGCGCCAGCCGGGACTCCCACATGATGGCATCCATGCTCTCCAACCTGGACCACAGCCAGCCCTGGTCCCCCTGCAGCGCCTACACCATCACCTCGTTTCTGGACAACGGCCACGGTGAGGCCCTCCCGCTCCTCTCTCGGCCGCAGCCAACCTTCCGTCGGTGGCGTTCCAACTCAGCGAACTCATTTTTCTCTCTTGTTCTTTATGGTTTCCCTCCCCCACAATTACTTTCACTGCCAAGAATATACATTTTTAGGTCTTAATTCCAGTAAAAGAGAGTGCTTCTGGCCAAGTGGCTCCCAGCATACATTCATTTGCATTTTTAGCAGAACAATCATTTCCTGTCATTGTTAATGCAGAAATACCCCATTGAGGATAATATCTTAATTTTCATCTCTCTGGCACCTTTCCCCAAAGTTCGGCAGCTTTCCAGTCACTTTGCTATGAATTACCCCCTGTGATAAATATTTTCCCCTGCACGCTTTCATCTGCTGTTTACTCATAGTGGTTGGCATTTTTCTTGCAGGGGAATGTCTGATGGACAAGCCCCAGGCCCCCATACAGCTGCCCTCGGATCTCCCGGGGACCTTGTACGATGCCAACCGGCAGTGCCAGTTCACCTTCGGCGAGGAGTCCAAACACTGCGCCGATGCGGCGAGCACGTGCGCCACGCTCTGGTGCACCGGCACCTCTGGCGGGCTGCCCGTGTGCCAAACCAAACACTTCCCTTGGGCAGACGGCACCAGCTGCGGAGAAGGGAAGTGGTGTGTCAACGGCAAGTGTGTGAACAAGACCGACAAGAAGCACTTTGATGTGAGTCTTCCATTCATGCACACACTCGTTTAGAATTTGGAATTGAGCGCAGGGATGCCCAAACATCTGATAACTCCTTGAATACCCGTCCACCTGTTCTCAGGTGGCGCACAAAATAGCTTATTTTTGTAATTGATTCTTTGTTTCACGTTTTCTCTTTCATTCCCTAAGAAGGTTTCGGTAAGGAATTCTAACACTGATGACTTGTGTCTCCGGGTAGACTCCTGTGCACGGAAGCTGGGGGCCGTGGAGAGCCTGGGGAGAGTGTTCCAGAACCTGCGGTGGGGGCGTTCAGTACACGATGCGGGAGTGCGACAACCCGGTCCCGAAGAACGGAGGGAAGTACTGCGAAGGCAAGCGCGTGCGCTACAGGTCGTGCAACATCGAGGACTGTCCAGACAATAATGGTGAGTGGAAGTGGGCGGACAAGGTGTGTCCACTAAGAGGCAGTGGAGGGGTGGAAACTGATGACGTCGTCCTATTGTTCTCTTTCCAGGAAAAACCTTTAGAGAGGAACAGTGTGAGGCGCACAACGAGTTCTCCAAAGCTTCCTTTGGGAGCGGGCCCGCCGTGGAGTGGACACCCAAGTATGCTGGAGTCTCCCCGAAGGACCGGTGCAAGCTCATCTGTCAGGCCAAAGGCATTGGCTACTTCTTCGTGCTGCAGCCCAAGGTAGTAACTCTTCCACTTGCTTTTGGGCTAAGACCGAAGTCCGTAGCTTGCTGCCTTTTCATGCAACCTATGAGGCACTTTCTTTAGTTTCTACATTGACATGTTCAGGTTTCAAATTAGAATTCATTTTCTTCTGGATAGCTCGGCAACTGCCAGATTTAAGTGGGGTGTTGATTTCAGTTACGGATGAAGCTGGAATCTAGCCCTTACAGTTCTTGCAGTTGCTTATTATTACTCTTACAAATAAGAGCCCTTTACTGCTGGTTATGTAAATCATGTGTTAACATGGCAACCAACTCGTGGTTTGGATAGTCTAGGCACGGTCCAAAGTACGTGTTACTGGGTGACTAGCACCAGCATGTGCAAACAGACTTCTTCAAATGGAAGTCTGAGTATTGATACCTTTTGTGTTTAAGGACCTATATTGAACTAGAAGAAGCATCATTGTGTTGTTTAGCTGAGGGGTTAAACTTTGTTAAGATAGAAAGTGGCACTGAATTTGGCTGAGACCGCCATGGGTTGTCATCACTGTAGCCTATAAAAATATTCCCCAGTTGCCCATTTAAAATTTAGCAAGTGATTTATTCAGCACTTAACCATTGCCAGATATTATTCTGGGCACTGAGGAGACAGCAGCAAAAAAAGATTTTTTTAAATGACAAAAAGTTCTGCTGTCTTGACCTTAGCTAGAAGTGAGTCCGGTCAATGAACAAATAATCAAAGAGTTTGTTAAGTTTTTCAGATATCTATGTGTACTGTGAGAAACGAAGACAGGGAAGGGTAGTGTATGACGTGTGTAGAGTATTGTTTGATTACGACGCTCAGGAAGTCAGAGATGGGAAGTGAGCGAGGGAAATCTTCAGAGCTACAGCCCCCCGTCTTCCCCTGTTGACGTGTGACGTCAGCGCGTGACACCAGGTCCACCTTCTTCCTCTCTCAGGTGGTCGACGGGACTCCGTGCAGCCCAGATTCCACCTCTGTCTGCGTGCAAGGGCAGTGTGTAAAAGCTGGTTGTGATCGCATCATAGACTCCAAAAAGAAATTTGATAAGTGTGGTATTTGTGGAGGAAATGGATCTACATGCAAGAAGATAACAGGATCGGTCACTAGCTCCAAGTAAGTTTTAAAATGCCACACCCCCAAATGTTGTATCTTTTAGATGTGACTTTTCTTTAAACATGTTATTTATTTACTTTTAGAAAGAAGGGAAGGGAGGGAGAAAGAGAGGGAAAGAAACGTCAATGTGTGGTTGCCTCTCACGCACCTCCAACTGGGGACCTGGCCTGCAACCCAGGCATGTGCCCCAACTGGGAATTGAACAGGCGACCTTTTGGTTCACAGGCCAGTGCTTAATCCACTGAGCCACACCAGCCAGGGAGGGCACAGATGGAACTTTTTACAGATCTGGTGAAAATCATGTTCTAAATGGCTAAATGGCCATGTAATAATTAGCCAGTGAATGAGCAGTCCTGTTTCTCTTGCCTGCAGACCTGGATATCATGATATCGTCACAATTCCAACTGGAGCCACCAACATTGAGGTGAAACAACGGAATCAGAGGGGGTCCAGAAATACTGGAAGCTTTCTTGCCATCAAAGCCGCCGATGGCACATACATCCTGAATGGGGACTTCACTCTGTCCACTCTGGAGCAAGACATCATGTACAAAGGGAGCGCCCTGAGGTACAGTGGGTCTTCCGCCTCGCTGGAGAGAATCCGCAGCTTCAGCCCTCTCACCGAGCCCTTAACCATCCAGGTCCTGACCGTGGGCCATGCCCTGCGGCCCAAAATCAAATACACCTATTTCGTGAAGAAGAAGAAGGAGCCTTTCAATGCCATCCCCACGTTCTCAGAATGGGTCATTGAAGAGTGGGGCGAATGTTCCAAGTCCTGCGGACTGGGCTGGCAGAGAAGACTGGTAGAGTGCCGAGACCTCAACGGGCAGCCCGCTTCCGAGTGTGCCAAGGAGGTGAAGCCAGCCAGCACCCGGCCTTGCGCGGACCTGCCCTGCCCTCACTGGCAGCTGGGGGGTTGGTCGCCCTGTTCCAAGACTTGCGGGAAGGGTTACAAAAAGAGAACCTTGCAGTGTCTGTCTCACGATGGGGGAGTGTTGGCTCACGAGAGCTGCGATCCTTTAAAGAAGCCTAAACACTACATAGACTTTTGCACGATGGCAGAATGCAGTTAAGCAGGGCAGGCGCTGGAGGAAAGATGAGGAGAGGAAGGGCTGAGGCACTGAAATCGAGAAGGCTGGAGGGATCCGGTGTACCTTGCTGGAGATGTGACAATCCATGTTCCCTGGTACTGGTTCAATCCTTTGTACCCTGGGGGTTGGGAAATGCAAAGCAGAAAACAGGTGAGACTCTTAATCGAAGGCGTGGCTTACTTTACCTCACTAACAATGGAGGGAGAAAGGACTGCAAAGAGGAGCTTTGACCAGCACTGCTAACGGTTGCTATGATTCCGAGAATGTTTATGTTATCTTTTCCACCGAGAGTTAAGAATTCAGGAATGTCCACTCCGGAGAAAAATTTGTAGCAATGTCAAATGACTCCGTCAAGACCCTTTGGCACCGTGCTCACATCTTTGTGAATTGGTTTTGACAAAGAAATATGCATTCCGTGTGTTTGTATGCTTGACACCTCCAAGGGGAAAAAAGCGGTGATGTGTCAGGTGCTGGTAAAAACCAGAGGAGGCACCCGGAGCTCGGTACCTCCTACCTTTCTTTCCTCCTTGTATAAGCCTACGTTAGGGATGTGGGTGTGAAAAACCAGTTTGTGTCTCAAGAAAGTCAGCAAGATCACGCAAAGAGGCCTGGAATGCCAGAACAAGAATGGGGTGAGCAAAACCAGGTCCCCGGTGTTTGGGGACAGTGGGATCATTTGTCTCGTGGCGGGGAGGCTACTGAGGGGTAGCAGGTCCATCCCCAGCAGCTGGTCCAACAGTCATATCCTGGTGAATGTCTGTCCAGCTCTTCTACTATGAAAGAGAATGACTTTTGCCGTGTGTATATAGTAAAACATGTTACTATAAATTCTATGTACTTTATAAGTATTGGTTTGTGAGTTCCTTCTAAGAAGGACTATAGTATGTAATAAATGCCTATTATAACATATTTATTTTTATACATTTCTTTTTAATGCTAAAACTCCTAAGTTATATCGTGATTGTAAAAAGGCATATAAAAATATATTATTTATACAATATATGTTACTAGAAATAATAAAAACACTTTTCAAATATGTGTGCATATTTTTTTAAGTGGGAATTTGTTTCTAGGACGGAAATCTGAGACATAAAAACTGAATTTGAAGAATGAATATTTTCTTAAATTCTTTGGGAAAAAAGATTTCATTCTAATGAAAGGTATTTTCTGTATCCTGGATTATGTGATTGTTTCCAAGAAAGAAAGCTACAGCATCTTTGGTGATATATAGGTTTGTTATTAATGTGTAATATACACACATGGTTGACAGACTTTTTCTGTAAAGAGCCAGATACCAAGTGTTCCTAGCTTTGTGGCCCCTACCATCTCTGTCACAACTACTCAGATGTGCTGTTTTAGCATGAAGACAGCCCATAGGCAATACATTCATGAATGGGCATGGCAGTGTTCTAATAAAACTTTATTTACAAAAACAGGCAGTGGGCCAAATCTGTTCTTTTGGTGTAGTTTGCTGACCTCTGACGAATACCGTAAATGAGATGAAAAAGGGTGGGATTCTGGAAGTACTTAGAATTTGTACATCTTCCTCAACTTTATCGCGTAGCTAAAATTTTATGGAAGTATTTAAGCTACTGAACAGGAAACACTGCCTTAAATTACATTTAGAATGGGCACCCGTGGTGAGCTGAGCCCACCGAAGGCGCCCCTTTCTCGGCAGCCTCCCTGAGGTGTACCTGGGAGACTGGAGCACCAGCTCTAATCTAGGCAGCCTTTTGTGAATCTCTGTATTTTAAATACTAAGTGGCCCATTGAAGGTTTTTGACATACAGACTGCTTCCAAAGTACCTACCTTCCGGGGAATAGGTGATTTACTAGAAGTCTTGGGTTATGTGGTTAACCACAGACATTTCCAACTTCATACTTCCATCCTTTCCTTCACCCTCCTTGAAATAGTTTCCTCAAATAGTTTTATATAACACGCTCATTTCAGATTCAGATGGTTGTTATTTACCCTTCCAACTGATTCACAATGTTCTTTTCCTAGAAAAGAAATATAAGATTCTCAGGAACCCCCAATGTAGGTCAAAGAAAGGGGTGGGGGAGACTCAGTCTCTGGTCAAGTTTTTTACTGCTTACCGGGCTACTGGACTGAAAAGTAAGGTCAAGTCTTCACACTGGGAACTAGTTTGGTCCCATAGAGCTCAGTTTAGCATTGGACTTGGCCGTGCAATTCAGTGGCCTGACGTGCTCTCTGCACCAATAATCTCTACCACAATTACTCATTTACATTACGACCAGTGACGTGAAGGGTATCCTAACCCTCAGTTACTATACAAGCTGTTTGGAAAAATGAGATAAATGTACCTAAAATGATAACCCATAACATAAAGAAGTCATTTTCAGGTCTTGCCTAATTAATTAATGAGTTTGTTTCTTTTAAAAGAGGCTGACATTGATTTGACATGGTGAGCAAAGAGACTGAATCAGAAGGCAGATAAAAACAGTCAAAAGATTCCCACTGTTCTCTGTCATCTCAGTGCCAAACAGCTTTCTAACATGCCACATTATTTCTTCACCCCTCTGCTGACGATATTTTCACTTTGCCAATAAACTGAGCAGTTTAAAACACTCACTTTTGACAGCAAAGAGATTTAAAACACTTCCAGTTCTGTGAGCTGGATCAGGCACCCGCTTAAAAAAGGAAACATTATGTGCTCACTCATGGTGTATGTATAAATGATGAGTCAGCATGGTATCGAGTTTTAATTAAAATACTTAATTTGCAAAACGCTCCATAGGCACTTTCTCTAGCATTTCAATCACCACCACCACGTAAGCACAATTTTTGAATTAGAGTTTTTGCACAAAAATTGGCAAAAATTCTTCACGATGTCTTTTCCCTTGTTTAATCTGTCTTTTAGAAGTGGGTACCAGAGGTCTTTTTATTATGTGATTTAGGAATAATGAACAATAGCCACCACTTGCTAATCTCCTTGATTCCCCAGATGAAAGAAAAACAACAACTATTAATACAGAGTTTGGGGCTGCCGGATCCATCAGGAAAGAAGACTGACCTGAGGTACCAGGATAAAGTGCCGTCTGTCCTGGTGCACACAGACTTCTGTGACATGAATGAGCTCATATGACATTGGCAGAAAAGGAAACAGTGAAACATGAAAGATGCGTTGGTTATCCACAAGTTTCCCAGCCAATAAACATTTTGTACCTTTTTCTCACAGCAATGGGACACAAACTGTACTAACCCATGAATGTGGCAGATGTCAAGGAACATGACTCAGAATGCCCACTCACCCCCTTGTCTCTAATTGGTCTCAGTCACAGAAGTTCCTAATAGAGTCTTTGTCCAATTGGCTCCTGTCTTCATAATTCAAAAGCCTGAACTTTTCCTTACACGTTTCTTCTATTAATCACACTGCCTTTATTTAAAGGTAAATTTCTATAATTATTATACAATTATTTATTTAAGATTTAGCATTTTTGTTGACTATGATGGTTTCTTTTTCCTTAGGATTGCTATTGCTTCATGTTCTCCTGCTTTTAAGAGAAGGTACAAAGCATTTGCTTGTGGGAAAGAGGTGGAGTGGAATTTTATAGTGAACAGTCCAGGAAGGCTTCCTCAATGAGGAGGTTTTAGGGAGGGAATGAGAGGGATGCAAGGGGACAGCCTTCCGAGGGACAGGATTGTAATAGAAAGGTGGCCAGCACAGGTGTGTGCGAGTGAACTCGGGGTCTTGAAGGGACAGCAAGTGGCCAGTGTGCCTGAAGCTATGAGGAAAGGTGGGCACTGGAAGGCAGGGTGCTTGTTCCACAAGAGGAGGACGTATGATTGGTTTTTTCCCCGAGTGGGATGAAGAGCCAAGGAGGAAACGGAACAGAGGAGAGGGATTCTAATACCCGAGCAAGCTCACCTGGAACGGGGCCCGGCCGGAGATTGTGGTGATCACTGCAGGGCGTGAGACTGATGGGCTCAACGAGGGTGAGGGCCACAGAAGTCATCAAAAGAGGTCGAACTCTTCAGGCCAACACTCTGAGATTTGCAGGTGAGCATTCTAGTTAAAAACCAACAGAAATGAGAAGTACACATTTTTTACTAACCATTGAAACTGGTCAAACCTATAGCTATTGTAATTTTATGGGGCATTTAACATAAGCAATTATGTTACTTATTAATTACTTATGTAATTATTAATTACTAATTACTAATTATTCATTATTTATTGAACATAAGTAATTGTGTTCAAAATACGGTATCAAAAATAACTTGAAATATAAAACCAGTAGCTCAAAGAGAATATATTTGGAAATATTTTAATAATAATAATTCAAGTCTAAAACCATAAGTCATAATGAAAAATCATAATAGCAGGATAAACATCTCCTATATTTGAAGTTATCAAAGGATATCACTTTATTCTTGAATTTAGTAATTAGGTAATATAAATGAATGATAGTTCTTAAATAAAAACAAGTATCCAAATGTGTTTCTTTATTTGAAGAATGGAGAGAAAATATATGCAATACACAACCCATAGAGAAAATGATACAAAGCAAAAAGTATGGTGACAGAATCACAATCACATTATCAAATAATACATCGCTTAAACTTTCCTACTCAGACAAATATCTTCAAGATGTGTTTAAAAATAAAATCCAAAACATGATAAATGAAAAAAATATAAATCAAAATGACCTTTCTTCAAAGAAGTTCAAATGTTTATCAAACAGTAGAAATATGGAGGAATAAAATGCCAGCCAAAATTATATCAAAGATGGAAAAGCACTATGCAAAACAAAGAATAACATTTCTTATGAATTAAGGGTATAATCTACAATGAAATGTTACCAAAATAATAGAATGTCTATGTATCAATTTCAAATTGTTAAAGATACAAAGGATAATTAATAGGTAGGAACTATTCTATTTGTCTTTGAAAACTCACGGTAAAGGCAAGTTAAATGTGTAGGGAAAAAATGCAAAACTGTACAAAGACAAAAGACAACTTGACCAAATCAAGAGGCGTATGTATTTTTTTAGTCTAAGTCACAAACCTTTTTACTGTATCCTAAAATAATGAGTAGATATAATGAAATTCCAATCATTAGCCATTCATAATTTTTGGAATCTGATAGCATGATTCTAAAGTTTATCTGAGGAAACCAATTTGGTGAAGACAAGTAAAGAGAAACACAACTAAACACAAAGTATGATGTGAGATATTTGTTTGATCTGATTTGAAAATGCATCATAAAATTACGATTAGGAAAAAAGTGGTAATTTGACAAGCATATCTATGGGTGAGAGATATAGCTCAGAAATAAATGTTAATAACCATAACCACGAAACCTTAGTATATGATGATGTTAGTAACACAAATCTGTGAGCTAAAAAAGATCATTCCAAACTTAGCCTTAAGTTTTTAAAAAATAGAAATTTGTTTGGAAAAAAATAGAGCCTTTCTCAAACCATTCAACTTAAATTTCAGATATACAAAAAGTTAAAACATTTAAATACAAACTGTAAGAAATATTAGCAAATGTAGAGAAATCATTGTTTTGTTGCTGCATGAGGAAGGAGATCTGAATATAAAAACAATGAAATATTACACAGCAAAAAAAGCACACAAAAATGGATTGATTTGACTGGCTAAAATCTTTAATCTTCTGTGTTTCAGAAGAATCCTTTCAAAAGTATTTTAAAAAAACAATTTTCAATAAACACAAAAGGCAGCCCAACATGCCTCTATCTGGCTATCTGTTTCACTCCTGGATTCCAAACGGCCGCCCAGTGAACCATTAGTCACCCTTAAGATCTCAGGCCACACGTCACTTTCCCCAGGAACCCCTTCTTGAACCCTCAGCTACATTACACTCTCAAAGCACTCAGCACTTTCTCTTCTTGTCCCTTTCACAGAAATTGTACTTCTACTTCTGGGCTTGTTTTGTTCACTGTTATTTTCCCAGGTCCCACACCCATGCTTGTGAGATATTATTTTTATTTCATAAAGAGCCCTCAAAAATAGTCACACTGTTGGATCTAGATATTTCTACTCCTAA